ACAATGGGTTAATTTTAAAATAAATTTTTATTTATCAAGAGACACAAACAGGTGATACATGAGACAGGAAAGTTTATTTTTTTTTTATGTTCAATGTTCAAAGCAGGGTAATTATTAAAACTGAAAAGAAAATATAGAATTCTAGCAAGTAGGACTCTCCAGTCATCTATTGCACCCGTCCTAACGCACCCTTACAGTGTTGTATTAATTAGGATAGTATTTAGAGCTTGGGTTCTGAGATAGTCTCAGTAGACAAAAATAGTTTTAATAAATGATGTTCTCTTTCTGCTTAGTGTGAGACCTCCCTTTGCAGACTGTCCAAAATTATTTTCTTAAAGAATGTGCTCTTATACCCATCTAGTGAATTTAATCTACATAAAGCTTCTCTTAACACTGGACTTCCATTGTCTGAAATTTTTTGTTATTAAAAACAGTGCTATAATACTGTTCATGCAGCACTTTTATTNACTGGACTTCCATTGTCTGAAATTTTTTGTTATTAAAAACAGTGCTATAAAACTGTTCATGCAGCACTTTTATTTTTGTAATTAGGATCTTTTCTAGGGAGGGTTTCTAGAAGTAGAATTATTGGGCCTCAACAACTATCTACTGTCTGCCAGATTTTAAGTTTCTTCATCTAGATGAACGTTTAGTTACATAGATCAGAAGTGAATGAACGACAAAGCGACATGCACAGCATCCAACCCTCCAAATGCATAGCTGAGAACATTGCTTGAAGCCCTACTACGCACCAGGAACTGTGCTGGACACTGTGCATATTCGTTATTCAAATCCTTACAGTATAGGAAGGAATGTGTCCCCAGCCTGATCTCCATGCTGGTCTCAAAAAGTTTAAGAGATGCCCTGGCCAGTGTGGCTCAGTAGCTAGAGCATCGGCCCCCCCCAAAGAAGGGCTGCACGTTCGATTCCCGGTCAAGGGCACGCACCTGGGTTGCAGGTTTGATTCCCGGCCCCGGCTGAGGTGGGTGCCGGAGGCAACCAATCGATGTGTCTCTCTCACATCAATGTTTCTCTCCCTCCCACCCCCCATTCCACTCGCTCTAAAAACCAATGGAAAAAATATCCTTGGGTGAAGATTNGGAGGCAACCAATCGATGTGTCTCTCTCACATCGATGTTTCTCTCCCTCCCACCCCCCATTCCACTCGCTCTAAAAGCCAATGGAAAAAATATCCTTGGGTGAAGATTATTAACAACAACAAAAGTTTTAAAGGAACATGTCAAGGACACAAGAGTCCAAACTAAACTGAGCTCAGTTCTGATTCCACAATTAGGTCTTGTCATCCAACGAATGCTATTCGTTAAAAATGATCTTAGGTCTTGTCATCCAACGAGTGCTATTCCTAAAAAATGATCGCTGTAAACAGAATCTCACTCCCTTGTCCTGAAGACCAAAATATGGCAGCTGTGCCGAGCCATCCGCTCTCCCGGGTGTCCCTCCCATTTCTAGAGGACAGTTTCACCTTGGACCTTTTGGACTCTGAGCTCTTATAAGACACTTAAGAGAGCCCAGTGTTGCCGTAGAGACAAATACTATGTAGGAACGGCCCCGACGTTATGCTTGGTGCCGCTCAGGGCTTCAAGGTGGCTGCTGCGTCTGGCCGCCTCCATGGTGTTTTGGGAGATGATGTCAACCCATTGTTTATGTCCATCCCGTGGGAGGGGACACATTCTAACCTAAGATTGAAGCCTGGGTCTGCAGGCGCAAAGAGGCAACTGTCTGGGAGTGGGAGGGGGATGGACAGCTGCGAGGCCGGCTACCCACGCACGAGGGCGCAGCTCCCAGCCGTCTCCCCAGCCAGGGCCCTGGCCGGTCCTGACCCCCACACACAGTCGGTGCTCTTGCTCTGACGCCTGTGAACTGACTGCATTTAAAACTCGGGATGATGATTCAGGGGTTAGAGAAACTGTTATTTATACAAATGTGGTTAACACCTCATCGTTTCTAACTGGCTGTGCTAATAATAATGCTCATTGTGCTCCGTGCTCTGGGTTTGTTTTGTTTATTAATGTTTTGTTTTGTTTTTAATTGATTTCAGAGAGAGGAAGGGAGAGGGAGAGAAACATTAATGATGAGAGACACTAATTGGCTGCCTCCTGCGCGCCCCCTACTGGGGATCGAGCCCACAACCCAGGCATGTGCCCTGACAGGGAATCGAACCGTGACCTCCAGGTTCATAGGTCAACACTCAACCACTGAGCCACGTGGCTGGGCTTTTTTTGGTTGTTCCTCCGCCCCCAAATCTGCAACCTCTGTGGGCTTCAGCAAGATGCTGAGTGCATGCTGGAGTCAACTGGACAATCAAATCCTGCCCCGAAAGCGCGTCGTCCAACGGGGTTTGCATTACAATTCGCCCCGACTCAGTATCTTGTTTGGTGTCCACCACTGCTCTGAACATCCCCTCGCTCAAACTCCATTCCTCCTCCCAATCTGCTCAGCGACTGTTGATTAACATGATCAAGTTTCAGAAAAGCTCACCCCGTGGGCCTCCCTTCGCTGCAAGAGTGGGTGAGACTCATCTGTCCAGCTGGCCAACATTCAGACTCCTGCTTTCTTGGGGAAGGAGTGAGAGCGCTTTTTGTAGGCGTGGAGTAGTTCTCTCTCCTGTTTCCAACATCTGTTCTTACTGCCAATTCACCTCAAATAGTCTTCATGTTCATAATGTCCACAGGGCTCCATGGACTCTCCACCTGTCACTAACATGCCGCATGGAGACAGGTATCGGTCACCTTGAGCCTAACAGATGAGTTTAAGAGAAAGGCAGAATGAGGTGGGCTCCCCTCTGCTGTGTTCCCCCCCAAAATGAAGTCAACACATCAGTGGAGCCCCAACTAGTTCATCTACCTCCAGCAGCTCTAGATAAGTGTCCTTATCAAGGGACCCCTACTAACGTACAACTTAGATGCTGTTATAATAGGTTTTAACACATTCTCTTCTAACAAATATTTTTTAAGTCATGGTAGGTAAGTGATTCATTTCAAGTTTTCCTTGTTCATCCAAACTCTTACCCTATTTGAACTGTACAGTGGGAACTTGCTGCAGCAATTTAATTTTAAAAAGGAGGAGATTCAAGTTTTGGGTCTTCATAGGAGTAAAAATTGTCTAGCAGTTCCTGGAACGGGCACTCAATGCTAGATAAATGCTTAATTTTACCAGGAAATTTAAGTCAAGAAACAATGGTAACTAGTTATTACACATCTAAGTTAAAAGTGTATTACTTGCTGTTTTATATACTGTTTGTGTCCCCTTAAATTCACATGCTGAAGCCCTAATCCTCAATGTGACGGTACTGGGTGGGGGAGCCCGAGTGGATGGGATTAGTGTCCTCCTGATAAAAGAGACACCGAGAAAGGTGAGCTCTCTCCCTCAAGTGGAGACACAGCAGGTAGTCAGCTGTCTGCAAATCAGGAAGAGCATGCTCACCAGACACCAAGTCTGCTGGCCCCCTGGTCTTGGGCTTCCCAGCCTCTAGAACTATGAGAAGTGAATGCGTGTTGTTTTTGCCACCCAGTCTACAGTATTATGGTATTGCAGCCTGGACTGACACAGACAGACACACACACACTTCCCAATGTTAAAAAACATATCTACTGATTGTTCAAATGTTTGTTTTGAAAGTGAAATTCATGTGGCACAAATGTATCAACATACTAAATAATAACAGTACTCTGCACTCATTAAAAAGATAGAAAAATATAACTTTTATTTCACTAAATGATGCACATATATATTAATAAAAACCTGTAATTAAAATAACAAGAAAGTAATACATATAGGGAGAAAGTTGTCCAAAGGATATACAAGTATCCACTTATTTATTTAATCTCCTCCTATCTCTTCTGTAGAAACACTTATGCTCTTGGAAGATTCCTTAATGGGCGTTTTCTTAGGCCTCTTGATTCCTTTACCTCCTTAGCAGCGCAGTTGATGTCTTCTGTTTGTCTGTGCCTCTGCACACTGCCTTTAGAACTTCTCTGGTATCACATGTTTAACCAGGACATCTACACGCTGTAGTCACACAGCTTTATAACTTAGTACTGTACTCACATGTCCCGAGACCAGCACAGGTGGCACGATTAGTCCAGTTGGGGACGCTGAATTATTAAATATATTGATATGTGTAAAAGAGTGATTAAAAAGCCCTACGAGGTTTCCCAAAATTTAAACACTTCCTTTTCACCCAGTTGTTGTAAAAGACACAAAACATTCTGAAGACCTTGGACTTACCCTCAGATAACCTTCCCAAACCTCCCAGAGTCATTCTAGGCTCTAAGTACAAAAGGAGAGCCTCTGAATTATTCCATTCCAAGGGCTTCCAAGGCATGCTTTCCAAGGAGCAGAATAATACTTGGTCTACGTGGAATTCTGGGTAACTTGAAAATAAACCCAGTTCTCCAACTCCAAGTCAAAGTGCTCACCTACTAAGATGAATCAATTTTGGCTTCTGTCTAAAACAGGTATGATCTTTGACTCTGAGATGTCAGTGCCGAAGAACAGTTAACCAACACTAAACAAAGCTAATACCAGGACATTCGACCCCGAAGTCTAAATATCCAGGCAAGGAAATAAGGTATCATCTAGTTACTAGTTGCTTGGTTACTATTTTGCATAGTTCTCCATAAACAAATAAAAGTAAGTTTTTATTACTATATTACTCTAAATAGTTACCAAAAATAATATCCAAATATTGTTATATTTAGATAAGTGGGGAAAGGGTATAGAAGTGTAGTTTTTTTCTCATTTCCCTCCTCAAAGAGCTCAAGGACAAGACAGAAGAGATGCAGAATCATTCATAACTGGTGGCAGAAGAACTCAGGTATTTAGGGAAGAGGTAACAGGGTTCAACTATTTACACCATCACCTAAGATACAGCTTCTAAAGCAATATGCTCATCCTTAGATTCATATTCACATGGTGGCATTTTGCTTCAATATTTCCCAGCCAAGATGCAGAACTACTAGTGAGCACATGACATTCCATCTTTACAATAAAGTTTATTTCATGTAATTTATAAAAGCTTTATATATTCTAACATGATGTATTTTTTACAGTGGCAACTCAACTTTATTTTGGAATAAAATAATTTCTAAAAGAAGAAAATCTGCAAATATTCTCTTCCTTACCTTCAGTTTGAAAATCATGTTCAATTTTTTTAAATTAAATTAAGGACTATACAATGAGTATATATGTCAAAAACAGCTTTTTAATAAATGAGAAGTTATTTACCAGCTTTATTCAGAATGTTCACAAAGGTTCATTATGGTGCAGAAAGGGAGGAATAACAAAAAATAAAGGGTAATCTTTAAATCTGGGGAGAAAAAAGATTTTAGGTGCTAGAAATGGTTTGTTTTTTCAAAATCACCTGTGTCAGGTTATATTGAAGGGAACATTCACCTGTGCTGTTATAAGGGGATATTTAGTCCTCCTGTGTTACTATTGAGAAATATTTGCTCACATTTATTTATATTACACTGACAAATGGCAGTCCTATAATTCAATAATTCACTCAAGTTCAAAAGCTGGAACAAACACAAAAATGCACTGGAGCTTTGCAGGTTTAATCACCTGGTATCGTAGGTGGGCACCTTCCTTTATGATAACAAATACCAGGCTGTGGACTAACTTAACTTCAGTTACGTAATTCCTATAACACTCAAACGGGTTTAAAAATATAAATGCCCCTTCTCCAGCAAAGTTTTTGGGAGGATTCTCCTTTGGTGTTCAGCAGATGCAAGGATGTGCCAGTGGGTAGCAGGAGGGATCTGTTTTTATCTATTTTTATTATAGAAAGATGGACAAAGGGATGGAGTGTTTGAACAAACAAAGAGATCACATTCATTGAACTATTCTCCTAGATTTAGGTCCTAGGCCCCATTTCACAGGACTTTCAGAGGGACACGAGCCTTGCTCTGCCTTCTCTCTAACAGCTAGGCACAGACCTCCCTGAATTTAGCTCTCTATAGGGCAACAGTGAGGGTCCAAGTCTCTCCCGGATGCGTGTTCTGGGCAGACCGCCTATGAGCTGCCCTACGGCCTCACTGGTCAGTCGGCCGTAAGAGAGAACTGAAGGTAACTCAGATAGTCTCCAAAGGGAAAGGACCATGCATGTCGACAAGCCTCAGCAACGATGCCTGGCTGCGTGCGTGAGGACCAGGGCAAAGACGACCGACACGCAAAACAAACCCCAATTCAGCACCCATGCCTATCACTTAGCACATAAAAGGAAATGATACAAAAGTAACGATTTGATGTTTCTTATATATTTGCCAGAATAGCTAAAAAAATAAAACCCCTAATCAAAAATACTATAATTTTAAATTTTACTACAAAAGTTTTCTCAATAAGTCACCAAAACAAACATCAACCCTTCCCCCCAAAACTATAAATACACAGGCCTGCAAGATGAGAGATATTAACATCAAGGAGTTCAATTTAATTAGGAAGGACACTGCACTTCTGGAAACTGGTAAATACCTAAGACAACACCAGTACCCATGACCAACATGTAAACCAGTGATGGGGCAACAGGAGCATCTCGCTCGCTGGACAAGTAGAAATGTTTCCTTTTAAAAATGTTTTGAGGGACAATGCTTAAAGTTATACAAAGTTTGAACACCTAATTCTCACAAAGTTTATGTGAAAAGGGGAACCATCAGAGTGGGCAGAGTGCAGGCATTTTGCTCTTACAAACAGCCTTCTGATGAGTCCCGACTTTCAGGGCAGCAGCAGCAGCAGCAATTCTCTAGGGAAACAAAGTGACTGTCCAAGTGCTTCCCGCACCTCTAGCTCTCTGTGTCCGACTCACTTCCCGATCCCGGTTGGCTGCCATCTGGCCCGTCACTCTCCTTGTCCCAGTCTTTCATGGACGCTCCCATCATGAAATCATCACGGAGGATGGTCCATCCCGGGCCCTCTTCTCTCACTTCAGTCTGAGGACAATTACAGAATCAGAACACTCAAAAGTCGATTTAATCAGGGAGTCAAGAAAGTCTACAGCACGAAGCACACTTGTCAACAATGGGAGTGAAACCAAGACAAAGGAAATATAGTAAGATCTAGGTTTGGTATCAGTTTTTTAAATCTTAAAAAAATTTTTTGACATGTTTTTATTGATTTCAGAGAGAGGAAAGGAGAGAAAGAGAAACATCNTTTATTTTGGCTTTTTTTTTTTTTTTTAATGTTCTTTAAAGAATAGTTTATTGGATTTTAGAGAGAGGGGGAGGGGGAGAAACATCAATGTGAGAGTGCAACATCAATCACTGCCTCCTGCACACCCCCCACTGGGGATGGAGCTCAAAACCAGGCATGTGCCCTGACTGGGAATTGAACCCTGACCTCCTCCATCACAGGCTGATGCTCAGCCCCTGAGCCACACTGGACGGGCACTTTTTAAAATCTTTACACAAAACAGTCTTACAATATTATTTCAAGTTCACTGATGATTTATTAGAAGACTTTTGGCAAATTATTTTAAGACAAATAGAAATTTAATAAAGACTTTTAAACTAAAGGTGAGAAAAGGACACTAACTAGGGCGCCAGACTAGGTTTTCACGGTGCCATCTCATTTAACAGCTGATAAAAATGTGAACCAAATGCTTTTTATCTAGGTTATGATCTCACTGCCTGACCTAATCATCTCAGCAAAAGACTAGTCACACGATAAATTATAAATAAACAAGCAGGCACTAAGTAGAGGTAGTTGGTGCATTTTGTTCCTCACAGGATTTACGTAAAACTACATTTACGAGCCCAAGACAGCCTCTCGTTTCACGGTACACCAGCGCCACCTTGTGGTAGTGACTCGGCAACACAGTACCTGCAGAACTACACACTCTGGGGTTTCTTTCCCTCATTCCACAAACACTTACTGAGAACTGTGTATCAAGCACTGTTCAAAACAGAGTCCCTGTCTTCATGGAGCTAACAGTCAGTGCTTTTCTATTTATTCCATTCACAGAAATATAGTGTTAGGAAAATCTCTCTAAATATGCAAGATCCCATGACACTGGGTTATAAAACAGTACTATCTTCATGAGGGTTATAAACTATATAAAAAGCAATTTTTAAGAAAAAGATATTAAAGACATTTGCTGGGTTACCAGACATTACTCATTTAATTCTGCTGAAGCTACCATTTAATTAAAAAGACACAGCCCTGAAATAATCATTCCAGTTAAAATAACAGGATGCGAGGGCAAGGAGGAAAAGTCCTCACTGTCCTTACTCCTGTCTCCTGGGATCAAAGGAGGAAGCAGGCTGGTGCCTAAATACACCCGAAGACTGGACAGTACGCACAGGTGAGCAAAGACTGCAGAGCTGGCTTAGTAGGAGGAACAGCACACTCAGCACATAACAAACAACACAAAGAAACAAACAAAACCCAAGTGTGGGTAAAGCCCGAGGGTAGAACAGCCTAGTGCCACCCTCCTGGGACAGCACCAAAGAAGGTCGGTTACAACTCCCACCTGGAGCGGGCGAGCACCGCCCCACCCTCACTCCCCCAAGTCAGACCCACACCCTGACACTGCTTCTGCTTGGGTTCCTTTCAGTTACCCAACTGGATAAGGGGCCCTGATTCAGCCCAAGTTTTCTTTGCCAATCTCCTCTCATTTCACAAAAGAGAAAGAGCTGCTCCCCAGGAGCAGAGATCCACTTGGAAGCAACAATTATGACACCTCTCCTGCCAGATTCGTCACTCAGAGCTTTCAATTAAATTCTAAAAGTACAGGCTTCCTTACCCAATACTGACGAGTATAGACTTGTCCCTGCACTGAGATTTGTGTCCACACGTGAGTGTGCACGATCTCTAACTGCACCCAGCATGCTATCATGTTACCACCGGAGGTGGGAGACCCCCCATTGCTGTGCTCAGTGCAGTTCCCACAGGAGGGCTCCCCAACAGCTAGCATCTGCTGGACTCCAAGTCCCTCCTCTACTAGGTGGCACCAGAAGAGCCGTGGGCACCAGAGTGAGGAGGGAGAAGCAAGGACAGTATCCTTATCCCGAGGATGCACCCCAAGTCCCCCAGTGGATGCCTGGAACGGACGATATACCACAGCTTTCATATACATGAGAACATATGAGTATATTGTATGTACTCATATATATCTATGACAAAGTTTAATTTACAAATTTATCATTAAGAGACTAGTAATAACTACTGGTAAAATAGATCATAACAATCTATACTGCAATAAAGTTATGTGAATGTGGTCTCTCTTATTGTCCTGTACGCACCCCTCTTCTTCCTCATGTGACAATAGGAGCTGATACAGTGCCTTTGTGATGAGATGAAGGGAGGTGGAATTTTCCATTTGGTATTTTCGGACCTCAGTTACCCTGGGAAACTAAACCTGCGGAAAGTGAAGACGTGGACAAGGGGAGACTATTGCAGTTCAGAGAAAGAAAGGAACAACAGTGGGCCAAAGGGAAGGATTCATTAATTAAAATGTCGAGACCAACAGACTCATGTGCTTCTCTTGAAAGACAATTACGGATGGAAACACATTCTAGGTACAAAAAGCAGTAACAGGATAAAGTCAAAGCTTCCCTTGCTTGTCCAGTCTGAAGGACGCCAGTGAAGAAAGGCTCTCCTGGGGGCTGCGGTGTCTCTGCTCTGGGAGCACTGGGTAGAGTCTGGTCACTTTTCTGCAGTGTGGTCCCAGGCCAGGCATGAGCATCCCCATCACTTACTGGAAATCCCAAGTCTCGGGCCCCAGACCTGCTGAATGGGAAACTGGGGAGTGGAGCCGGGAACCTGTCTGAATAGACCCTCCAAGGGTTCTGATGGTGCTGAAGCCTGGGCCCAGCAGTACAAATATAATGTAAGACACAGCCAATCGCACTACCCTTGGTGGGCACAGACACTTCTGACCACCAGCCGGAAGTTGCGTCACCATGTCAGCACAGACAGAAATTAGCAGCTCGTGACATCGTCAGGAGGTAGGGACAGGGATGCAGTGACCTGATGTAACCTACAGGACCCCTCTCGGTGCCCATGGCAAGGAACAGTCAAACAGATTCAATGCAAAAACCTAATGAAATCCACATGAGGCAAGCAAACAAAACAGCCCCACCCTCCCTGGCCTGGCTTTACACAAATATTTAACCAAGATCACACAGAAGTGTCTGTGCCGACCCGGGAGATGAAGGCAACCCTGAAAGATGTTAATCAGCTTCCACTTCAAGGTTCAAGCACACACAGGCAGCTACTGCACAGAAAACTGGAACAGAGGCCTGGAATTGTCCATCAGTCTAACTCCAAATAATGAGGAGCTTAACCCCACTTGCATTCTGAACACGGAAAATTAAAGTCAAATCCTAAAAAAACAAACCACCTAATCCCATCTATATTTAGCAATCAGCAATACTTGATTGCTTTGCTTTCTCCAAGAATGTTCGGTTTTCACTGTAATTTAGTTTCACCTAAATTTAAGAAGGTTCTGAACTCTGGGTAAAGTCATCTTAATGCCTTTGTTGTTGCAAACTTTGTGTCTGTCCTTAGTAATCTCCCTGCTGGTTAAAGCCCACCTGAAAATTCCGCCCGTGGAATGAGGGGTATGTGGGAAACCCCTTCATCTAGTAAATATTCTGGCAGAACCAACAGAGGCAAACACAGCCTCCAGTCTTCAGCATCTGAGTGGTTTCCTACCCATGGGGGACATTTAACGTCCCAATACTCATAAAGGACCTACGATTTTCAATGTGGAACCTACAGATTCGAGCTTATACAGAAGACCCTGTATCAACACAAACTCAACTTTCCTGATTAATTCTTACTAGGCAATTCCTCAGTGTTTTGGTCAATGTCTGCTTCCTCCATTCCTCCACAGACGTGTTTTAGGTGTTTTCACTGTCTTACTAGGATGGCACTACAGGCAACAAGCTCACTCAGGCTTCCGTTTTGTTAACTTTGTGTGTAGTTTCCAGATTAGCGTAGTTTCCGAATTTGCACGGGTAGGTTATAAGATCCAAGCAAACTAGAAAAGCATTAGGCATGACATCCTAGGAGAAAAGATCAAGATTCGGAAACCGTGTCCCCCTTTAATTATGGTCCAAGCACACGTTAACTGTATCGTGTCCTCTAAGAAAACCCAATTCTGTCTGGCTTCCCAAGAATTCAGGCTAATACTCCTGAAGGGCATGCTTCTCTCATGTAATTTTTTCAATTCACTGCACTGTTTTGTTTTAATTCATTTGCTGCCCGATTTTACTATGAGCTCAACGCTTAAAGTAGTTCCATTTAGTGACTTCTACCCTAACTCACTGTCCTACATCTAGCTCCGCAGAAAAAAGCTTTAGGGGCCACTGAGGCAGCTACTTCTCCTCACCATTCAGTCTCTTAAGAATGTTAGCGAGTTAAGGTTGACTAAGGTGACTGGAAAGGCAGATGTCATGTTCCTCAGGGAGCCTCTGCCACAGTGCTCTTTACAGTTTCATCCTAAACGGGGAGCCTGAGGTATTCAGAGTAAATACACTGAAGTCACTCTGTATCTGTCCCACTTCAGCACGTAAATGAGAATTCAGGTTTATAAACCTGAATTAGCAGAGCTGTGAACTGATCTAGAAAACACTTACTTACGTTTTAGTATCACAAATCCATTAAAAAACTTAAATGACAAAACTTAAGTAAAAGTTCTTTGTAAAACTATGAAATGCTATGTAAACAAAACTATGTAATAAGAATTGTAAAGAACTCATTCTCAGGCCTCCCATTACTGGGTGCTGACCAGGACTCTAAGCACCACATGTAGTAACTCCCGGGACCCTCGCTGTGTCTGAGGTGGTTCTCACCACTAGAATGGTGACCTGAAAGCAGGTAAGAGACCTGAGACAGGGTGTGCGAAGCAACCCAGAGGGCAGACCAGGTGTTTTGCACCCGGGTCATCGGATGCTAGAGCCTGTGCCCTATGCCACTGTGTACAACGTATCACACAACCCCGTCAGCATTCTCAAATGCCCACAACTCAAAAAAATGTCTTTTTTATAGCAAAAAACAGTAAAACATTCTTTTGAATTTTAAAAATGCAGCATGAGGACAAATGTGGTACAAGACTCACTTTATGCAGGACAGTTAAATTTTTTTTAAAAGGGCCAACCTCCCTGATGAAAATCCTCTGACAGCTCCTTCAAATAGAGGGGACAACTCCTCAGAGGACCAGAAGGTGGGCGGCACCTTATTAACTTTCATTATAAAGGAAATGGAGGATTTCTACAGAGGCTCTGTAATTGGTTCTAACTCTTCAGTTTTACCCACACTCCCCCAAGTCAAGCACTGCAGGCACCACTCTGCCCAATGTGGGTGCACACTGATTACAGCGGCGGCTCACACCAGAAGCCGCCCTACGTCAGCAGCACACAGGATGCTTCAGAAGTGGACACAATGGGAAACTGGCTCGAATGCGTTCCCATCGGCAGCAGTGTGTACAGTCATGCTCCTTCTCATTTCAAACTCGAAGTCTCCCCTTGGTCTAAATGCTAATCTATTTCGGCATTTGCAGTAAACAAACATTAAGCTGAATTATTTACAGAGTTAGGATTCCACACATTCCTGTGAGAGCAGCTTTTATGTGAAAGTAACAACAGAGTTGCCATGTGAGGCAGGGGCAACCTAAGGACAGCCTCTCTACCCGCCACCCCCCTTCCATCCCCCAGTTCCACTTAAACAGGATGTCCCACAACTGCAGGGACCACCCAGGGACTAATGTGAGGGCTCCCTCCCTTCCTAATGTCCTCCTTGGGAGCAGGAAATCATAGGTCTATGAACCAGAAGGAATGGATGCTTTCCTTTCCATTAGAAAAGAGCCCCCCAACCTACTTCTATGTCTGACATTTAAAGTGCTCATATCACAATAACAGAATAAACACACCTAGTCTCGGAATCTTGTATAAATACTGAGTCTTACACACAAGTCTCACCTGTTTGGCCTCTGAGCTCCTTCCCGTCAAACTTTTCTCGCCGGTACTTCCGTCCACCCCCCTCAGGACACTGATGAAATCTTTCTTGGAAACAGTTGATATCAGCTTTGCACGCTTTCTCATTGAGCTTCCAGCTTCCTTCACCTTCTCATCAACGTTCTTCTGGTGCTTCTGCACGGCATTGAACAGCTGCACCACACCCCTGTGGGCCACCAATGGCCAGAGCAACGCAGTCAACAGCAAATCTCACCAGATACAGCTTTGAGGACAGGAATAGTCTCACCAGATACACTCTGAGGACAGGAACAGTCTCACCAGATACACACTCTGAGGACAGGAACAGTCTCACCAGACATAAGCTCTGAGGACAGGAACAGTCTCAACAGACACAAGGTCTGAGGACAGGAACAATCTCACCAGATACACGCTCTGAGGACAGGAACATGTTTTTACCGCTTAGGAGACAGGCAAACATTTATTGGGCATGCCGATGAAAATAGCTAAATGGTTAGACACTTGTGAAAAATGAATACCCACTTCAATGAATAAACGTAAGTTTATGAACTCATCAAGAGAATGAATACCTGTGGATTGATATGTGGTCTGTTTCTTTTCAGCTCTGGTCTTTCTCAATCAACTTCTGTGCAATTAGAACTAAGAATTACTTTTAACTCCAATATCTATTTCTCAAAATGTAACTCTACAGCGGCTGAGGCCCTGTAGTGAAACAGAAAGAGCAGAGCCTCTGAGCTTAGCTGTCTGACCACCTGATTCTAGGGAAAACTTTTCTGGATCTTCATTCCCTGTAAAGGGAAAATAACACCCAAGTAGCTTAGAAAGTAGTCAGCTATACTATCTGCAACTCTTATGCTATAAAACTCACTTTTTAAATCTAATTTTAAAAAACATCTATTTGAAGACATAGTACGAAAAAGAATTTTAGACTCTCATTACCGATTGTTTTATATTGGTAACAAGTTGAAGAAGTAATCTTTAGACTATATTGGGTAAAACAAAACATATCATTGAAATTCAGTTCACCTCTTTCTTTTACTCTTTTCAGTGTGGCTACCAGACAAATTCAGATTACGTATGTGGCTCACATAACATTTCTACTGGGCAGCACTGATTTTGACCGTTAATATCCCTTCTGGCTCTAAAATTCTACTATATGTTCCTTTTCCTGCTCTAAGAATCCCCGGGAAAGGTGATCTCCCTGGGCCCTGACCATCCTGGACCATCCTGCACATTCTGCTGGATTTTTCAAGAACTCAGGCCCTGGCTGCTCTTTACCGGGCCATTTCTCCCGGTTGTTTGCAGTTCGCAACTCCGAAGAATGAGGTAACGTCTCCCGCCTGACAAAGAGTAGGCTAGTTCCCATTCACTGTAAAAGCAGTAGAGTTCCCCGTACAGTGTTCCTCTCCTGTAACACGATCACTGCATGAGCAGGTGCCCATCAGGGCACCTGGGCTTTCCCTGGAGACAGAGGGAGCCAGGGAGAATGGGAGGCTCTAGCCACTGTTTTGGCCGTAAGTAATGAGGTCCTTTATCTCTGACCCAGTTGTCTCTTGTCTTCCATCAGCATCTCAGAAACGTTAACAAGCCAGATTAGTGGGTTATAAACAGGGTACAATCCATACCCTCCACAGCAGTCAAGTCAAAGCTGCAGCGCACTTAGTTTTTAGGGGGCTAACCGGCTGTCTCACCTCGTGGCGATTCTCTGGAGATTCCTCTCCGCATCTTTGTCTTTGACCACGTCTGGCTTGACTCGGCACATCATCTCCCACTCCCGCTTCTTATCGAGCTGCGTGACAAACACGAGTATGTGAGGACATTATGCATTTCTGACAGTGCAGCACAGTCTGACATGACCCTTTGAAAGGACAAAGTTTAAACACTGCTGTTCTTTATTTTCAGAAACTGACTTCAACAGACAGAATGATTAAGAACTTTTATCAGCTTTTTAATGAATAGCATCATATTCAGATGTAGCCAACTTATACAGTGACTGTTTTTCCTTTCACAAAGTCATTTAAATCCATGTCTTTGACGGCATATCTGACCACTGCCCTTGAAACATGTGGCAACTTGGCTGCAAACCACAATATGCCGATTCTCTACTATCACAGAGAAGTAGAAGGGGAGTCAGGTAATAAGAAAACCCCATAGGTAAAATAATCTAATTCAAAACTATCTTCTAGCAGTCTCCCCGCCTCAGGCCCCCGATGTGATAAAACTGCCTCTCCAGATCCCCTCCCTGGGTCCACGGATCACCAAACAGCAAATACACTGAATGTGATGAACACCAAGAGGTTGGCAAGCACCAAAACCAGCAACAAGAACCAGCAACAAGTCCCCTCTTATCTGTTCCAATCTCTCATTTCCTACTAATGAAAATGTCTAATCACAGGAAAACCAAATTCCTGCTCTGGCTATAAAGACTGGCTAATCTAAAGGAATAGATTCCTTTCTAAAGGAATAGATTCTTCCCCAAATCAGGTCATTTATTTTAACTGTCATGAAATTCACAGTCAGATTATGCCAGAAATAAACAAATAAAAATCTTACTTTTAAAACAGTCGATTTGAATTATCTCTAGTACCCAAGGTATAATAGGCATGCATAATCCCCAAATATTTTTAAACTCTGAAATACATTTTTATATTTCATATTAGAAATAAGTACTTGTTATCCTGGAGACAGGTAATATTTAACATGAAGAAACGATGATAATTTCCATGGACTCTAATCAGAACCAGAGACTTAACAGCGTTTGCAGCTAATGTGCCGAGTTTCTGGCAGCCACCTGTGCGCTTTCATGCGTTATGTAGACAGTATCCTCTCTAGCAAAGCTCTGCCTAGAGCAGAATCAGAGACTTGCTCTCACTCTCTCACTGTAACGCTGGGACTTATGGGTTCTGATCATTTTGGAGCCTCTTCTAGCTTTTGCCAGATAATAAACAAAGATTGAGATTTTCAGTTCAAAAGCTATCAGTCTGACTGAGAGGCAGGATTCATCTTAAAGTAAATGAGATTATAGATAAATAGAGTACAGTACGTTCTGTGTCTAAGAGCAAGGCCTGGGAAGCCCCATCTTTACATAGCCTCTCAGAGTGACCAGCATGAGGAACAAGGGAAGCATTTATCCTGAAACAGACACAGGATGAGGAACTTAAGAGGAAACATGCCAATTCAAACTTTCCTTTCATTTTTACCTATAAAGTGCCCCTTGGAGATTGGTACTTTTATACTAATGGTACAACTGTGGAAAGTTATTTTTCTTGAATTAAGAAATAATACTTGATTTAAAGGGATACATTTCCTTGGAGTTTATATTCCTACTCTGCTTAGGTGACTAAAAGGCAAACATACTCCATGGGGTAATTCAGGCAGGGATTCTGAACAGAACCTTGGCTGTCCACCCCACATAAAGAGTTAAACACTGGAATGTTAGCTGAACAAACACTGCAGGAACGATTCGGTGCAGACCAGACCTAAGAACTGGACCCCATCGAATCCAGAGCAGCGGGAGGACGCACCTGCTTTCTTCTCTCCTGTCGCTCCTGCTTTAACTTTTCTTTTTCCTTTTCCAGCTCTTTGTTTCTGACCAGAATGGTGGGTTTGCTTTTAGGGGTTTTTTTGTTCAGGATTTTAGCCATGGCGTCGGCCCAACCGGCACTAGTCCCCAAGCTGGCTCCCGCCACATTTTCACCATCATCGTCACAGGGTTCGACTTCATCTTCATGGTCAGCCTCCACTGCTTCGTCATCAGAAGAGAAGTGACCCTTGTCTGATGCACACCTTCCTGTGGAACCTAAGAGGAGAAACAAATTAAGCTACAGTGCCAGAGGCAGAGGTGGCCATGGCTGGCCCCTAGGTGCCCTGTAACACTTCTCCATCTGTCCCTATTCTTGCAAGAGAGGACTTGTCCAAGTATCAGAGCCGCAGTGACAGTGGAGAGCAGTGACATATATAAAAACAAACCTAAAGTATGTGGGTAAAAACAAAGTATCTTCAAAAAAGTAAGAGAACATGACATACACAAGTTAAACACAGAAAGCAGAATACATTTTTAAAAAGCACAATCTTAAAACATGAAGTATGTCAACGGCAAAAAACAAACATTAAAGGAAGAAATCCCTAATAATTCTATTGTCCTAATGTGCTGCATATTTATTAATGAGGAAAAAAGTTGGGTGGTTGTTTTTTTTAAATCCATATGCCACATACCTATTTATCTAACTTGAAGCCTATTTCTGTATCCTGTATGCCAGGTAAAGTTAAGAAACTTGAGGACATATGACTCTAGGCTTTGACGTGCAAACACAGGGGATATAAGAACTCTACTGTTGCCCATAATATTAAAAAAAAAGTATCTACATTTTGCCAAACAAAAGTTGATAGCACTATCGTTGGGTCTGATAAATTTGTGTCTACTCTATGCCAATTCCAGTCACTCAATTCTTCCCCCAGAAGCACCCTCCTATGACCAGTAATCCCTGGAAAGTACATCGGGAAACAAAGTTTAGGAGCGTAGTTAGCTGAAAAAGAAATACACTAAAGTATTCTCACGGTGGTGGCGCTGCACAGGTACCTGTAACAAAATACACTTTGAAAAGTGCTTCTTCTAGGAAGCATTTATCTAAATGGAAAGAGCACGATGGTTTCAACATTTTCAGTGAAGACTGCCAGGTGATGAAAAGCAGTCTTTACCCCTCCTGATAAAACATCAAAACGACAACACTGACATCTAGTGTTTTGTCCTGATGGATTCCACACAAACTGCAGCTCATTTCCCATTTTCAGCTGCACTGTGAAGGCAGCCAAAGGATTCTGGACTGTATGAGCCACTCCAACTCCCCACTTCTAAACTGGCTATTTTTCTCCAGTGTATTTCTTACCCAGCTTGACTCCCACAACATGCGTATTATGGAAACACGATAAATCTGTGACAAGTTTTGTAACACTATTTTACAAACCAGCACTCGCCCCACCAATTAAAAAAAAATTCCAGAAGAAGTCGCTAAAATCATTGTTTTTATTTTCTCTTTTTAAAAGAAGATTCAGCTCAGAAGTGGTGAGCGAGGCATTCACTGCCAATGGAAATGATGATGTTTATACAAATAAATTAAAAATGTCAAGGCAATGAGGTCTTCCAGCACACTGAAACACAGGATTTACTCCTAGGATACCAAAGGTAATCATGATGCAAATAAAAAAGAACTGGTTTTTAAAAATTTACTGCCTCCTATAAAGAGGAGAATTTTTTGCATTTTCTACTAAGTGATCTTTAATAGCAGAAGGTAAGTGGATATATCCATGAGTCTAAGGGAACCAGATAAGTAAAAAAATCCTTTGAACGCCTGTGTGTTATTTTAAACATTAACTCTAATCTTGAATTCTACTTAAAAATTCTGGAAATAAGGGAGGCTACAGAGAACGTGTCTAGGACATAGTAACTCAGGGTTCTGATAGACCTTTCCGCATTCATGGGAAGGTTCTGTTACCAGAGCTGCCCACCGGCCACCGGCCACCAGCCACCAGCCACGGCCATTGAGGGCTTCAAAAGTGGCCAGTACAACGAGGAACTGAGATGTATATTATACTTCATTCTAATTACTTTAACTTTAAAAAGCTACACGCGGCTAGTGGCCACAGCACAGGACAGGGCGGGGGACACAGGCCCATTTCTCAGGGCCTGCTGCCTCTTCCCCAAACTTCCAGCTCCCTTTCAGACTTCGAGGCTTGTCCCCAATCCCCCCAGGGGTGGCCGGCTGCTGGCAGGAAGGTGAGCCACTGTCCTTAACCTTTAGAACTGGGATCAAGTTTTAAAATAAAATAAAAAGACTCCCAGCCCCTCAACATTATTAACCGGGATGATGAGGAGGAAGGGAGGGGATAAGGCAAACTCTCAGCCCAGGTCTCTCTCCCGGGTGCAATCACATGTCTAGGAGGGTAGACAGAATCGGTCGACTGATTGCAAAAATTTGCAAAAAATCTGTTTGCCAAAATTTGCAAATATCTGTGTTTGCAAAAATTTGCAAAAATCTAAGTGTTTGCAAAAATTTGCAAAAATCTGTAAGTGTTCTTCTAAAAGAAAGACAATGCAGGAAAAGAAAAAAAAAGAGAGTCACTACTTGGAGGAATCTTCTACAAAGCTGACACTTTAAAGCACAGGTTGGGCCAAAGACGCCAGGTTCCCCGCGCAGCCCAGGCCACCTTGCAGAGAGGCAGGACGGCTGCCATCCGGGACCCAGCACAGCCTAGACTGGGGTCAGGGCGCTGGGGTGGGAGGTGGGGGGCCCGCTGGGTCACCCCGGGGAGCTACCCGACAGGGGCCGAGCGAGCTCCGGCCGTCAGGGCAACAACCTGTGCCGCACGAGCTCGGGGTGGCGGGCAGTTCCCCGGGGACCC